TGTGTGTGTGTGTGTGCAGTCTGGTGAGCGAGAGTGTTAACAGAGGTGCACAGCGAGGTGTGTGGTTGAGCTGCGATGGATGCATCGATGCGACGTGGAAGCTGGCCGGCATCGGCGATGCAATTGCGCGCCGACGCGGCTGTGGTCGATGCGATCCAAAATCGGAAACGCACACCTCACGCTTCTCCCCCACCCTTGCCCTTCTCCACACCACATCTTTACACTCACACGGCAACAGCACCGTACATTGGTCTGACCGAGCTGTCTGGAGAGAGCAGCGATGCTGCGCGTACACCGACTCTAGACGCCCTGCACACTCCAACCACCAGCACCATCCTATCCACCAGCATCTGCGGCGCGTGCAGAGATGACGGCGACAGCGTCGACAGCGAGGGTGTCGCTCGACGAGCCCAGTTCATCTTCACAGCCGAATGGCAAATCGATACCAGCACACACCGCCACAGACGATGGCAATGACGACGACGCAGGCTGGCGCGATCTTTCGGGCATGTCCGACGACGAAGTGCGTTCGGAGCTCAGCAGGGTGCGCGAGGAACGCGACACCTTCGAGACGCAGTACCGCTCGCTGCTATCCAAGCTCACCACGATGCGCGCCACACTGGGCGACCGACTCCGGCAAGACGCCGAGGAGCTTGACCGGCGCGAGACGCAGATCGAGACGCTCACGGCCAAGGTGTCTTTGCTCGAATCCTCAACTGCGACGCTACGGGACGAGCTGGTGGCATCGCACGAAGAGACGGAACGGCTGACCAAGCAGGTGGATACGTTGCGTGCATCGCTTGCAGCGACCGAGACCGACAGGGCGACGAGGACGAGCAGCGATGCGGGGCGGGTGGAACGCGAGCGCGAGCTGCACGAGCTCGTGGAGCGCACCAAGCTCGATGCGCACAACTGGCAAGCGGCGTGTCTGGAAGAGCGTGCCCGGCGCGAGGATCTCGAGACGCAACTACACGATGCACGCGATGCAGCCGACCGCGCCCGCCAAGCCGAGACGCACCACCGCCTCATCGCCGAACGCGAAGCCGCCTCGGCCGCCAACCTCTCTGCGGTGTTAAGCGAGTTTGAATCCTCGCAAGAAGCCGAGCTGTCACGAGCTCTCGGTGACCACCGTGCGCAACTCGATGCGCTCTCCTCTTCTCTCGCCGAGTACAAATCGCGTGCCGAGACGGCGGAGAGCAAGCTATCCGAGAATGCCGATCTAGCCTCGCAGGCGGAGAAGCTCGGTGCGCAGGTCAAGGAGAAGAATCTGCTGATCGGTAAGCTTCGACACGAGGCGGTGATTCTCAACGAACACCTTACCGAAGCGCTGCGCAGACTGCGCAATGACCAGAGCGAGACCAACGTGGATAAGCGGCTGGTGACGAATCTGGTGATCCAGTTCATCACCACGCCGCGCACGGACGGCAAGCGTTGGGAAATGCTCAACCTCATCGCAAGCGTGCTCGACTGGTCCCACGACCAACGCGCACAAGCCGGCCTCTCCAAAGCCTCGTCAACAGTGGCAGGGGGACAGAGACCGGCGCTTCGCACTGCCAACACAAGCGCTTCAGCCTCGAGCGTCGGTGCCGACGAGAGCTTCTCCAACCTCTTTGTCGAGTTTCTGCTTTCAGAAGCCGAGAGTGGGAAGGATCAGGAGGGATCGCAAGAGGCCGAGGGCCAAGTGCCAAATAGGCTCCTCAGCCCTGCAAGATCCGACTTTATCCCCTCGCCCGAACCAGCTCAGGATGCAAACCAACAGCAGCAACAACAGTCGTCCGGCTTGGGCTCGTATTTCGGCCTCTCGCGCGGTGGCAATCGCAAGTAGAATCGCACAACCCACCCCACACACCCACACACACGCTTGCCACCTTATACAAATGTGCATCTGATGACTTGGACAACTGCGTGACTACTTGTGCTTCTTCTCCTTCTTCTCCTTCTTGTCTTGCTTGTCCTTCTTGTGCTTCTTGTCCTTCTTGTCCTTCTTTGCTGGCTCCTCGTCGTCTTGGTCGTCGCGCTTTCGCTTTGACGGCGCCGGCTCGGTGGGCGGGACAAACGCCTTTTGCCTCTCTGCCTCTCTCTTCTCCTTCTGCTCCTGCTGGTGCGCGATCTTCTTCTGCTCCTCGGCATGCTTCTTCTGTCTCGGCTTGAGGAAGTACTCTCCGCTCTCGAGCTGCAGATCGATCTTGCTCGGCTGCTGCGGTGGCGGGAAGGGCGTATAGGTCTTTGGCTTGATCTTCTCCTTCTTCTGTTCTCCCTCGGCGGACTTCTTGGGTTTGACGTTGCGCTTCTTGAACTTGGGCAGGAAGCGCTCCCAGTTCTCCTCGGCGAGCTTGGGATCTTTGGCGAGCTCGCGCTTGATCATGAGCTCCTTGATGTGGTAGATGGGATGGACGTTTTTGAGGCAGTCGATCACGATGCGGCGCACCTCCTTGAGCGACTTGAAGGGCCCCATGGCCGACACGGTGTTGCCCTGCACAAGAACGTAGCATCCCGTAAGAAGCTCGATTGCCTTGAGCGTGCTACCGTTCGGACCAATGATGCGCTGGCGCCTCTTGACGAATCGTTCCTTGTTGCGCAGCAGGTTGCCGATCTTGATCACGTCGCACTCGATTCCGTCTTCGAGGATCTTGACTGCTTGTGGGAAGGGCACCGAGCGCGAAAGCAGACGGATCATATCGCGCGCCTTGAGGATAATGTACGGATCGTACGCCTTGCGCGTCGTCTTGACCGTCATCGAGCCTTCGACCAGATCGAGCGTACATGCAATACCGTGCTTGTCCAGCGCAGACGTCACATGCCCCCATACCTCCTTGAGGTAGCGCTCGCGGTACTTGGGGAAGAGCGTGGCGAACGACGACTCTTCCAGGAAGGGCCCCTTGATCTCGTCGGGCGTGAACTTGGGCACCTCCCAGTGGTTGATCGTGTCGTCGTCCCATGGTTTGTCCTTGCGGTGGCGCTTGTTCTTGGACACTGCCTGAGCGGGCGGCTCGGCGTGCGAGGATGATGTGTCCGCCATCGTGTCTGCGGTAGTAGGGGTACGGGATGGGGGTGGGAATGAAGGTGAGCGACGGCAGGCTCAAAGGTTGTTGAGTGAAAGCGGGTGTGGAGGCGAAAAAAGAGGGTCTCTGCCAGATAGGGCCAAATCTGGCCGCCTTGGCAGCCTTCAACGCGGCGAAAAATTCTAGAATTTCGCGCCTCCGCTGCTGCTGCTGCGAGCTGGAAAAGTTGGGACCCAAATTTTCATCGGTGATGGCTGAGCTTTGCATCGGGGTTTTTGCTGCTCGGGAGTCGGACTTGCCCGTGTTGGCCGCATGGACCCCACAAGGCCCGTCAACTCTTCGTTCCCGCCTTCCACCCCCACGCTCGCGGCTCACAATGTCAACAACACCCTCGCCGTCGAAACGCGCTCGGCTGCCGACGTCCAACATCCCGTCAGCGACGGCGTCGCCGTTCGCCGGCAGCTCGGCGGCGCGCTTCACGGGTCCGCGCTCCGTCGGTCCCACGGGCACCTCGGCCGTGGGGATGGGCATGAGTCCTTCGGACGCCTTCACCCCCGGCGATGGATACGGCATGTCGGGGCTCACACCGTTCAGCACCACGTCTCCCGCATATGCAGCTGGCGCAGCGGGGTCGCCCCTCAGCACCGCACTCGCCCACGGATCGCGCGTCCTTTCCGGCATCCAGGCCGGTTCGCCCTTCCAGAACCAGTACACCGCAGGTCCCACACCCATGATCCCCCAGATGCAGTACTCCAGATATCCCAGCCAGCAGGGTGTCCCGTGGAACGCACAGTATGCGTATCCGGTCATCATGCAGCAGCCAGTGCCAGCGGCGAAACCACAAGCGCCCCAGTATGGATCGCCAGAATACTTGAAGATGAGCCTGCACCACTTGACGGCGGTCCTGCTGCCCAAACTCGAGGCTGAGGAACAGGCGTATTTCGATGCAGTGTAGGTGCAGCCCAGCGCAAGTACACCAAGTGCTGGTGCAGACGAACTGACTTTCCCGATTCGGCCATGCAGAGACGCATCCTTGGCAGTGACCGCAGATACGCGCACCGTAGCACGTAAGTCCCTCGCTCCTCTCACACTTCATGTCGCCATGATGCTGATCTGTGTCGCGTTGGAATTGACAGAAAAAGCAGCCGCGTTCCAGGCCGCCCTCGACGCCGTGCTGACATACTTGGACGAAAAGGGCCTCGCCAGCATCCCGCTTCTTCCACCTGCTTCGAGCACCGACCCCGACCCCGCCTCTTCATCCGACGCACCAACAGACGCCCCATCCGAACCAACCGCATCCTCTGATCCCAATCCGGACACCCTAGCTCTGCAACTCACCACTCTCCAACAGCACGCCAAAGACCTCTTCTCGCGCCGGCAGCGGCTCAAAGATTCCGCCTCGATCGTAACCGGCATCCTGGACGCCTAGAATGGCCATCACAATTGCAATTGCATTCGAAAACTACGCATACTGCTCCAGATCGAGCGTAAGACTACTCGACGAATTCACGTCCTGGTCCCTATAGATGCCGACGAGGCTCTGCGAGCGCTCGTACAGCGACGCCTTGAGCGAGATGACGATGAACTGGAACTGGTCGCTGGCGTGCTGGCGGATGTAGTTGCTCACCTTGGCAACGTTTTGCGAGTCCAACGCCGCATCCACCTCGTCCAGCACAAAGAACGGAGCCGGCTGGAAGCTGTGAATCGCAAACAGCAATGCCAGCGCCGCCATGGTCTTTTCTCCGCCCGACAGCGCCGTAATGTCCCTGAACCGCTTCATCGGCGGTACCACCGAGTACGTGATCCCGCCCAGGTAGGGTTCTTCGGTATTCTCGATCGACAGATACGCAGATCCACCCATAGGCGCCGCCTTGGACCGCGACAGATCCTTGTAGGTCGCATCGATCTGCGTCGAAATGTGGTAGAAGGCCTTGTTGAACAGATCGCACCGCCGCTTGCGGATGCGGCTGAACTCGTCGCGCGCCTCCTTGGCCGCGCGCCGCGAGCGGTCGAACTCCTTCTCGGTCTCGGCCAGCTTCGCCTCGGTATCGTCCAGCCGCTCAACCGCCTTCATGTTGGGCGACATCTTTTCGATCTCGGCCGTGATGCTCTCGATGCGCGTCTGCAGCTCGTTGCCCATCGCCACCCCGCCGTCCTCCTTGGCCTCGTCGTCGAGCGTGCTAAAGTCCACCTGGATGCCGAAATCCGGCGCCGCCATGGGCTTCTGCGTGTTGTCGTCGTCATCCACATCCATCGGCACGTCCACATCGATCGTCTCCTCCAGCCCCACCTTGGCCAGCGAGCCCTTGAGTAGTGGCAGCGCAATCTCCTCCAGGCGGCAGCGTCGGTAGATCGCCGCGCGCTCCGAGCCCAGACGCTCGATCTCGTCGTTGCGCGCCGCAATCTCCTTGCCCAGCGAGTCGAGCAGCCGCGCCGCCTTGGCGAGCTCGGTGCGCCTCTTCTCGAGCGCCGCCTTCTTGGCCTCGTTGGTGGTCTGCAGCTCGGCGAGCTGCGTCTGCATATCCTCGATCTCGCCCTGCATGCCGTCCAGCTCGTCCTGCCTGCCCTGCTTCTGCGCCTGCCACGCGCGCAGCTTGTCGCCCTCGCGCGCGATCGCTGCACGCAGCGTCTCGAGCCGCTCCTCGGTGGTGGCGATCTGCTGGCGCTCAAAGTTGGCCTGGTGCGTGAGGCGCGCGAGCTGCGACTCGAACTCGAGCCTCGCGTCGCTCTGGCGCTCCATGAGGCGCACCTGGCGCTCCTCGTACTCGCGGATGTTGTCCACGCCGATGCGGCGGCAGAAGGGCGCAAAGATGCGGTCCTCTTCGCGGTTGACCACCGTGTCGAGGCTCGCCATGCTGCGCTGCAGCTTGTCGTGCTCAGTGCGCGCCGCGCGCAGCTTGGGCTGCATCTCCTTGGTCTGCTTGTCGTTGTTCTTGAGCTCGTCGCGCACGCCCGCCAGACGCGTGCTCGCCGCCCCCACCTCTTCCTGCACCGAGCGCAGGTCGGCCTCCAGACGGCTGATCCTGGCCACCATGTCGTCGTCGCTGACAAACGCGCGCTTCTCCTTCTGCAGCTCCTTGAGCTCGGCGAGGCACTTGTCGCGCTGCGTGGTGAGGCCCTGCACCTCGCGCTCCTCCCAGCGCTTGCCGCCGGACGAGCTCGACTGGCCACCGGTGATGAGACCGCTCTTGTGGATCACGGTGCCCTCGAGCGTGACCGCCTTGGCCTCCACCTTGCGGTCGTAGACGACGCTGCGGGCAATGTCCATCGTGTCGCAGACGAGCGCGTTGCCGCACGCATGATGGATGGCGCGCTCGATGGAAGCGTCGAACTGGATGACGTCGACAGCGAGACGCGCGCCGCGGGCGATGCTGCGCAGGCGGTCGTTGATGGGTTTGGCCTGGATGCGGTCGAGCGGCAAAAAGGTGGCCTGGCCGGCACGCGTGTTGCGCAGGTATTCGATGCAGTCGATGGCGGTCTTTTCCTGGTCGACGACGATGGCGTCCGTGTTGCGGCCGAGCACGGTGGCGATGGCCGTGTCGTACTTGCGCTGCACGGGCTTGCACAGATCCACGACGCGGCCGCGAACGCCGGGGAAGATGCGCTGGAGCTTGGCCATGGTCTCCTTCATGGCCGCCTCCCTCTCGACCTCCTTGAGGTCGTTGCCCGCTTGGAGGAGCTTGTTGTAGCACACCTGGAGCGTGTCGTTGAGCTTTGTCTCGCGCTGGTTGATGGCGGTGTGCTTTGCCTGCGTCTTGGCGAGCTCGTCGCGTGCGGCCCGCAGATCCGTGTCGATCTGGATGCGCTTGGCTTCGAGCGAGGCGTGCCTGTCGGAGAGCGTCGACTCTTCGCCCTGGAGCTTGTCCTTCTGCTTTGTGAATTGGTCGAGCTTGTCCTCGTAGTCCTTGACGGCGTCTGCCTTGATCCTCGCCTCTCGCTTGAGGGTGTCGAGTTCCTGACGTTCTGCGACTGCCTCGAGGTTGGCCTGCGCCTTGAGGTTGTGGTATTCGCCAAGGTCGGCCTCGCTGAGGGTGAGGCCGGCGGACTCGAGAGCGCGCTGCTGCTCCTGTGCAGCGCGGTCTGCTGCGCGCTGTACGGTCTGCTGGTCGCGCTCGAGCTTGGCGAGGTTGGCGCGCTGCTTTTCAAGGTCGCGCTCCACCTGCTCGGTCATGCGGGCGCCGTTGTCGAGCTTCTTTTGGGAGATGGTGATCTTCTCTTCGTAGGCGTCGAGAGTGGGGCGGATATCTTCGATGTCGCGCTGCTTGCGCTTCATGGCCCTTTCGAGCTGGAGGATCTCGGTCTGGGTGTGTCCCTGATCGCGCCTTGCCTTGAGCACGGCGTCCTCTGCCTTCTTGTGCTCTGTGCGCAGGGGCCGCATGTTCTTTGCCTGGGTCTTGACGAACTGAGTGTTGAGTTCGATGTCGTCGTTGATGTGGAAGAGGCGCCAGAGGATGTGGTTGAGGATGTGCTGTAGGCGCTCGGTCTGGAGGCGCTGGAACTTTTCGGCCTCGCTCTTTTGCTCGCGGAACTGCTTGAGTTCGGAGTTGATGCCCCTGCGCTTGTTGAAGTTGAAGGTGGAGTTGTCGGTGGCACGTTCCTGCGCCTCCTTTGCGCGCTCGTACTCCTCCTTGAGCTCGAGGGAGCCGCTGATCTGGTCGATGAGGCGGCTGAGCTCCTTGGAGCCCTGGGAGGCGACGGCCTCTACGTCGCCCTGGAAGACAAGGAAGTTTTTGGCCTTTACGAGGATGTTGAACTGCTCTAGCTTTGCGTTGTACTGGGAATACTGGATGGCCCTGCCGTTGTATCTGTATTCGCTGGAGCCTGCGAGTGTGATGGAGCGTTGGAAGCGATGTTCGTAGCCCTTGTTGTCCTCGTAGATGGCGGTGACGCTAGCTTTTGTGGCGGTGCCCTCGCCCTGGTCGTCATCGTCTTCGGATGCCGAACCAGGAGCGTCGTCGTCGTCGTTGGCGGCGCCCATTTTGCGGCCTCGGAAGATGAGGTCCTTGAGCTGGCTGGAACGGAGCTGTGCGGAGCGGACGCCAAGCACAAACGAGATGGCGTCCATGAGGTTGGACTTGCCACTACCATTGGGACCGATGACTGCTGTGAACGCATTGAAGGGACCGACGACCTGGTGGCCGCGGTAGGATTTGAAGTTGTCGATCTCTAGACGTTTGAGAGGCATTGTGAAGCCGGTGTATGATGGGGGCGTCTGCCCTCGAGGAGCGACTGGGATGGGTGTGCGTTTGTGTAGGGATGAGCCGAAGAAGAAGAAGAAGACAGAAGCGGGGCGTGTTGGGGAAGAGTGATGAGGATGAGAAGGGTGATGGATGGTGATGGATCCGATCGGATGTGCTCGAGCTGTGACTGCGCAGCCGCCCGACTGCAGGAGCGGAGCGCGCGCGGCGAGACCAACAGCCAGAGCGAACCAACCAACTGATCTTCTGCCTGCAGCCCCCATTTTCCCGACGCGGCTGCCACTCAACGCGTTGGTCTGAGTGGCTGCGCGTCTCTGCGAATCTGAAGCGACGAGACGCGTGTGGTGCTGCGTTGGGCCCAATTTCGAGACGCGCTTTTCTTCACGCTTGGATGCGCGAATGCTGCAGCAGCACCCTTTTGCCCCCCAGAAAAAAAAACGCCTCCACTCGGGCTCAAAAATGCGCAGCAGCAGCAGCAGCAGCCGCATAGCCTCCGACGCGCACTGTTCAGATCGCATCGAGTTGGATCGGGCGGCCGTGCCCAAGCCACCTTCATATCAGCTAGTCCGACTCGGCCAGACTGCAACGAGCCTCATCCCCACCAGACCATGAAGCCGCAACTGGCACCACTTGTCGCAATCTAGGCAGACAGGCCACCAACAGCCACTGGATGTCGGCGCCCTCATCGCCGCGCAAGGGCAGCGTGCACTCGTCGCCCGTGCGTGCACCTCGACGCAGGCCCTCTGCAACTGCCTCCTCGCCCTCGTCTCGCACAGCCGACCGACGCGCACGCTCTGCGCAGCTGTACGACTCCATCGGCGAGATGGACGATGAGAACGACGCTGCATATGACCAAGACCTCGACGCAGATGGCGAGTACGACGACGATTATCTCGACCACGACGCACAGGGCCAAGAGGAAGAGGTCGTCGTCGCCACGGTCCCTCCTGCTCCCACACGGTCCGGCCGCGAACGCCGAACGAGCGAGAACCCAACGGACTCGACCCCGCGCCAGTCTTCGCGGCCGAAACGCTCCCGAGCGCCGCACGGATCGTACTACGACCTGCCGCCGTTACCCAGCTTTTCCGACGCCGAGGACGACGATAGCGAAGATGAAGCGCCCTCGATACGCAAGCGTCCGCGCAGGGCCGAGGTGCTCACATCCGATGCCGAGTCCGAACAATCGAGCCACCGCCGCAGCGATGCACCAGGAGCGACAAACAGCAAGGTCGCTGAGGACGAGGGGCAGAGTGCGCAGCCGCCAGTGGAGCTCAGCGAAGAGGAAAAGCAAAAGGCACGCGAGGACAAGGAGCAGCACGAGCTCGCGGCGCGCTGGACCGACGAGTACTTTGAGATCGTCGAGCAGCTTCCGCTCGAGGTGCACCGTGCCTTTGCGCTCATGCGCGAGCTCGAGGGCCAGATGCACACGCGCGTCACCGGCATGGTGCACGACATTGCCACCTATCACCACGCACGCCTCGCCCATCCCTCCACCACGTCCTCCTCCACCTCACGTAGCCAGAAAGCAGGTAGTGAAGACGAAGCCGAGAGACTCCTCGGTGCCCCTCTCCCTTGCCCTGACGATGGTGACGCGGGGATGATGGATAAGGCGGAGCGGATGGATCTGCTGCGAGGCATTTCTTCGGCGGCGAATGAATCGGTGAAAGCGGCCGAGGAAAAGATGGGTCTGGCAGCGACGGCGTACGAGTGGATTGACCGGCACATTCGACGGCTCGATGGGGACATCGCCAAGCTCGAGGCGAGTATTCTGCTCGGCCTGCGTAGTGGCACCCAGGAATCTCGGGGTGCACGCGAAGCTTTGGGACTTGCACTGGACGATCCCACCCCGGCGCCAGCTGAACCGGCGGTGAGTGTGGCTGAATCTGCGGCACTTACCAAAGCTGCGGGTGCACGCCGCGGGCGCACACGCAGCAGAAGCAACACCACCACCCCAAAGCAGCGCACAACAAGCCTGCCCAGTCCAAGTCCCCAACCCGCCGTGCCTGGGCAACCAACACGAAAGCAAGGCGGACGACGTAAACCACGTCCCTCGACAGGTCGACGCAAATCTACACTCGCGGATCCAGTCGTGGTGCGTCCCGATGTCTCGGATATGCCCGACGACCCCACCGAACCAAGATACTGCTACTGCGACCAGATCTCCTTCGACCAAATGGTCGCATGCGACAACGACGACTGCACCATCGAGTGGTTCCACTACGCCTGCGTAGGCCTCGACCAACAACCCAAAGCAGAGTGGTTTTGCAGATTCTGCGCTCCCCCCAACTGGAAAGGCCCCGGTATGCTTGTTCCCCCGAACGCCAAACACCTCCCTCCCCCACCCAACAAGCGCTAGAAATCCGCCCCAACCCCCCAACCCTCCTCGGTTCGTATTTGTACCCTCATCCAGTTCACACACAACTTGCTCATCACTTTTCTTGGCAGCACACACACACTTGCTCATCGACTGTGTGCATCAATTGCATATCCATGCCTGGGAAGCAGGCGCGGGCTAAGTTTCAGCACCCTCGGCGGTAGCTGCACCCTCCGAGGGCGGGTCGCGCTCCACATCCGCCAATCCCGCCATCTCGGCAAGCCCGTCGATGATGCGCTGGCACGAATCCACGTGCCACTCGGCGAGCGTCTTGCGGTTGTTCGGCCCGATCATCGTCGTGTAGATGCCGTCCCTAGTAAGCTTGAGCTTCTTGGGGCTTCCGATCGGCGTATTGGCCTTGAGCGGTGTCGGTGGCGAAATGAGCAGCGCCGCATCCTTCTTGACCCCCTCCAGCCTCGACGACACCGCCGCCACGCCTTGATCGTGCGCCTCCACCTCGGGACTCGAGGGCGCGAGATTGAACAGCGTGCGGAACATGTCTTCGTCCGTCTTGTCGTCGCCTGCGCAAAACACAAACTCGGCATCCGGATGGTCGTACAGGATCCGCTTGACAATCTCGCCCTTGTTGATCGCCAGCGGTCGCACCTCGAGGTTCTTCTTGCCCACCAGCACCTCGATCGCCAGCTTGTTCTGCGACGTCAGATTCTCCAGATGCGCCTGGCACTCCTTCGCCTGGAACGACCCAAAGTCCGGATCCGCCCCGCGATAGTGCCACGTGATCGCACTCTTCTTCTGCTCAATCACGCTGCCCGCGGTGCGCTCCGTGTAGTACTCGAAGACGCTGCGGATGTCCTTCATCCACGTCATGTCGAGCTCCTTGGTCAAGTTGTGGTACTCGTCCTGCCCGGGCTCCTTGACGAATCCGCCGTGCTCGGCCGAGAATCCAATGCCGCGGAACTGCCCGAGATGCTTGCCCAAGAACGCCCCGTCGCGGCCCGAGATGATGTAGATCACGTTGCGCTCGTCCTGCGACAGCACCTCGAGCGCCTTGAGCAGCCGTTCGGACGGCAGCGCCATCTCGGGCACCTTGACAATGGGCGTCAGCGTGCCGTCGTAGTCGAGCAGCAGCAGCCGCTTCTTGGCCGCACGGTACTTGGCCACCATCTCGCGCCGGTCCAGCGGCGGCGTCAGATGCGCAGAGTGCTCCGAGTGCAGCCGCGACAGCAGCTGCTTCACCAGCCCCGCCGCCCACGTGTGCGAGGTGTGCATCACCACCTGGTGGTACAGCTGGTCGTGCCGCGCGCGCTTCTCCTCATCCGTCAGCCGCAGCGCATAGTCGATCGCCTTGGCCACGCCAAAGATGTTCCAAGGGTTCACCTGGATCGCCGAGCGCATGCGGCCCGCCGTGCCCGTAAACTCGCTGAGGATGAGCGGACTCTTGTTGAAGCGGTTCTGGCAGATGATGTACTCCATCGACGTCGTGTTCATGCCGTCGCGCACCGACGTGATGAGCGCCAGGTCGGCCACACTGAGCAGCGCAAAGTACTCGTCGCGGTCGATGATCTGGTGGTAGTGGTGCACGGGCGTGAAGCTGAGCGAGCCAAACTCGCCGTTGATGTGCGACACGAGCTCCGACACCTGGCGCTCCAGCTTGGGCGAGTCGTTGAGCGCGGGCGCCGTCACCTGGATGAGCACCACCTTGTTGCGCCACTCGGGATACTCGGCGAGGAACTTGTGGAACGCCTGCAGCTTCTGCACCACGCCGCGCACCACGTCGAGCTTGTCGCGTCCGACCAGGATCTTCTTGCCCTTGTACATCTCGCGGATCGCCTCGATCTTGGGCAGCACGCCCGACGCCGAGCTGTCCTTGGCGATCTTGACGGCGTCGATGCCGATGGGGTTGTACGTGATGTTGGTCACGTGCCCGTTGGCCGACTCGACCGCGTTGGACGACGCCTCGTAGCCGCACACGCGGATGCACGACGACAAAAAGTGGCGCGAGTACGAAAACGCCTGGAAGCACGCCAGGTCGGCGCCGAGCATGCCCTCGAGGATCTCCTTGCGCTTGGGCAGGCAGCGGAACACCTCGCTGCTGGGGAACGGCGCATGGACAAACAGGCCCACCATGGCATCGGGCACGAGCTTGCGCAGCATGAGCGGCACGAGCAGCAGGTGGTAGTCGTGCACCCACACCAGGTCGCCCGGTTTGTACTCCTGGGCGATGCGCTTTGCGAACGCCTCGTTGGCAGCGTAGTAGGCGTCCCAGCTGTACTCTTCCCACGCGCGACGTCCCGAATTGACGTCCTGCCAGAGCAAGTAGTGGAAGAGCGGCCAGAGCGTCGCCTTGCAGTAGCCTTCGTAGTGGCCGTGAGCCACGTTGTAGTCGAGCCATACGGGCACGTACTTGATGCCGTACTCCTGGTCCTCGGCCTTGTTGGCGGCGGCGGAGCGAGCGGCGGCGGCCTTGGCGAGACTGGCGCTGTTGCTAGGCTTGGTGGTGGGGTCCATTGATCCGACGGGCTCTGTGCCGTTCATGACGGGAACGGGCAGCTTGCTCAATTGCGGTTGGTTGTTCTCGGGGTTGACGGGCGCGCCGGCGACGGGCGCCTCCTGCGTGGTCCAGGCGCTCGCCTGGTCGAGCGAGGCGAGGACTTCTTCGATCTCGCGCTTTTCTGCGTCGGTGGTTTCGGAGGCGTCGGCACGGTGGTCGTCGCGCGCCTGCACGGCAAAGCGGATGTCGCCGGGCCAGCCGATGAAAGTCTGGCGATGTGTGGTGCAAAGGCTGCGGATGCCGCTGTTAAGTGCGGTGTGGCCGCGGCGCGGCTTGAGTACCCACTGTGGCTGGGGCGGAGCGGTGGGAGGCGAGTCCGCAAAGGGGCTGTTGTAGTCGCTGACGCCGCCGGTGGCGGACCAGTGCTTCCAGGGCTCCTGGTTGAAGCTGCTGAAGCTTCCACGGCTGGCGGCGGACCACATGGAACCTCTGCGCGAGTTGATGGGCGTGAACCGGTCCTCCTCGGAGCACTCGCTGGTGTCGTCGACGACCTCGGTCATCATCCATGCCCTGCGACCTGCGCGACGTTTGGCACGCTCCTGGTTCTCGCGCAGCCTGGCTTCAAAGTCCTGCCCCTCGAGGCCGGTCATACCGAAGCCGGCGGCAAAGGAGGATCGGCGCGAGCTGACGCGGAAGCTGTTCTTGCGCGACACCGACTCGAGCTGGCCAGCCTGACGCTGGAGTTCGCGCTGCGCCTCGATTTCGCGCTTCTCTGCCTCGGCGGCGAGCTTGGCGGCCTTGCGTGCCCGCGCCGCAGCGGCCATGGCGGCGACGCTGGCGGTGGCGGCTATCCTCTCTTCGCGCTGGCGTTCAAAGTCGACCTCGGCGAGCGGGCGGATCTCGAAGGGGATGTAGTGGCTGACGTGGATGATGCGGCCGCTGAGGGGCATCTCGGGGTGTTTTGCGTTGAAGTCATCCTCGAGCTCTTTGACCACTTTGCGCATGTCGTCGAGCGTTTCGAATTCGGCCTGTGCGCCGAGGTCTCCCGTAGCAGCGGTGCCGAGACCCATGCCACCGATGCCATCGGGACGGAGGGAGATGGGGTTCGGAGGCACAAACGAGGCGGGCGAGGCGACGACCTGAGCCGCGTTGCCGAGCACCGGCTGCGAGGTCGCCGAGGCAGCAGCAGGCTCGTTGTTGGTGGAGTGAGAGAAAGACGGAGCGATGGAGGCCGAGATGATGTCTTCCTCAGCCTTTTCGCTTTCCCTCTTGAGCTCGGGCCCCGAGGAGTGGCCGTGAGCCTTGTCGGAGGTGGAGGCGTGCATTGGCGCAGCGCCTTTGAAGTAGTCGACGCTGGAGTCTTGAGCCGACGAGGCGAGCAGCGACGACGACTTTGACGGCGCAGCGGAAGCGGCAGCAGCACCAGCCATAGCGTCGGGAGACAAGCTGGACGGTCGAGATGCGGAAGCGACTCCTGGCGCTGGTGCTGCGCCCAAGCTTGGCGGCTCCTCGGAAAAGACGCCCGGGGTGAGGGAGCCTCGACGTTCGAGCGCGGCAGGCTGCGGCGAGAGGGCGGTGGAGCGGGTGCTGTCTGGGCGCGAAGCCGTGCCGTTAGGTTGTGTGGGATTGGAGGAAGCTGAGCCTGTGGTCATGTTGTGTGTGGTCTGCGCTCAGGTGAGCGATATGCGGCGGACGAGCGCAGTCGACAAAGTGGCTCTGGCCGTGATGGATGGGCGGATCAGAAGCTGCAGCGCGTTGTCACGGCGTCAATGTGCCAATCAGTCAGCGCGTGACTGTGCTTTCCCACCAGTCGACTCGCTCGAGCTTTGCCAAGACGATACTGTGCGACGAGCGCCGGTTTCTGTCGAGAGTGATCGTCCGAAGCCTTGCTGGATGAAGTAGCGATGAGAGTGAAAGGCGCAAAAGAGACAGTGGGGTGGGAGAGAGGGGGTTGGTGGTGGTGGTGGTGGTGGATCGTGCCGGAGGAAGGAGCTGCATCGAATCGGCGCGAGGCAGAAGAGCGCAGCGCTGTTATCGCTGCCGGAAATCTTGCAAACACAGCTCTGACGCCTGTATCGAGAAGGACGCCGAGCCGAATTGGTCGCTGCGGTCAAGCCATCCGAGCCAACTCTTTTGGCCTTTGCCCCTCTCTGCCTCTACGAAAAGGCGCATCGATTTTGACGTCAATTCGACACACCACAGCGCTGCACAGCACAGCGCAGCACAGCATCGCCATCTAATCGCAATCTCCAGCTCGCCTGCCCTTTTCGCCCATTTGTTTCTTTCCATTTTCCTCCACTTTCCACGCACACACACACTCCACTCTCTCGAAATAGCGCTCTCTCTGGAAACCACCAGAAAATCCGCACCGGCCCGCCGCCTCCCTTTTGAGCGGCTTCTCATCATGCACGGCTGACTGGTTGTGCTCAACAACACCCGCGCTCCCACCCGGCACTCCGGTCATGCCTACAAGCCGGCTTCTTGTCAGCCATCGTATTGCAAATGCACTCAAAAGAACATCTTGTTGAGCTTGTCCTTGGCGGCGCCCTTGATGGCGGCTTCGCGTGTGCTCTTGAGGAAGTTGCTTGCGCCTCGCTCGAGGTTGGTGAGGCCGTCCTCGATGCCGCTCATCATGGCTCCACGCGCCTTGAGCAGGTCGATGTTCTGATAGCTAGTCGCCCACGCCGAGTCGGCCGAGGCTGCCACGGCCTTGGCCCGGCTAGGATCGCGCCGCGCTCCTCCCAGGCTCGATCCAGCCGCCGTTGGACGCTCGCTCGTCTCGACACGGTCGGTCTCCGTAGCAGGCGGGAGGGGTGGACGGTAGTCACGCGGCGCAAGAGCTTCGCCGAGCTTAGGTGGTTCAGGTCGCTTGTCGCCCGCCAGCACCGCGTCCATCTGTGCTCCCACCGACAAGACGCCCGTGGTCTTGGTGCCGAACCAACCGGCGATGCTCGTTGCCACCCCAGCCGCCGAACCCACGGCTCCAGGGTGAAGAGGCACCGTAGGAGCTGCGGTGGGATCCACCAGCGTCAGGTTCGGCTGACCCGGTCGACGGAGCGAGGCAAACATCGTCCAGAGACGCACGTCGAGGCTGCTGCACACCTCGACAAAGTCGCCGTTGGCGTCAAACGAGATGCACGCACGCCAGCCCGCCGAGTCGCCCACCTCGCGATGGTGGCGCTGCAGCCGCACAATCGGCTCCAGCTTCGGCAGGCTCAGCAGCCGGATGCTCGACGCCGTCACCACCGCGGCCACCTTGTCGTGCGCGCGCTCCACCACGCTGCACCCCAACACGCCCTCGCCCATCTCGGCGCGGGACACCACCGGCCCCGTAATGCCGTACCGCAGCGTCACCTGTCGCTCGCTGAAGCCCAGCAGCACATCCGCCTCGGGAAGCTCGGCGGCCGATCCAGCAGCAAAGCCGACCTCTTGCTCGCGCAAGGCTCGTTGCAGATCCTGCGGATGCGCATCGCAAGCCCGCCCCTTGGTGTCGAGCACGTGCAGCCCGCGAGCATCGACGAGTTCCTCGAGCTTGTGAGTACCGCTTCGTTCCACCAGCCACATATCCAGCGTCCTCTGCAGAGTCCACACCGTCGTCACGCCGTTGGCCCGCACTACGATCAGCCGCGGCGCCAGACTCGGATCCTCGGCAATGCGGCACACGCTGAACCTCAGCTGCACAATCGGGCTCTTGGACTCAGCCTCGATCGCCTTGCGCAGCGTCTTGGCATCGCCATGTCCGCCTTGCTCTGATTCGTGCCCGCCGAATCCTTCCTTAAGGATGAGCTCGCCGCACCGAAAGTCAAGCACCACCAGCGCCGTACCGCACGCCACCGCCAGGAACCCAATGTCGCTCGATGCCAGCGCCGTGATCTCTCCGCGCATCGGATCCACCATGAGGTTCGGCTTGAAGCCATCGTAGCGCGGATCCGCAAGATGGTGCAGCGACACGATCTCTTCAGCCTCAAAGCCTCCTGGAGGTGGCTGCATGGGAGCTGGAGCAGGGCCAGCCGGCGACGTCGTCCGCCAATCGGCTGGCTGTTGCAGCGCTCCACGCTGCCCCGGGTTGAGACTCGCGCGCTTCGGGTCTCGGCGCGGTCGCGGGGGAGGCGCGCCTGAGCTGGACACTGCCGCGTCCGTCCCCACCTCGAGCTCTTGCATTGCCTTTGACATCTCGGCGTCCAGCGCCTGCGACGTGGCTGCGGCGGCTTCTGATCGCGGCGATGCAATCGACACGGACGAGCGGTGCGTGCTTCCACGCGGGCTCTTGACGGGCGGGATAAGCAGATTCGCCTGTTCCTCCTGCCTCTTGATCGACTCCTCCACCTCGTCGTTGATCATCTCGGTCTCGCTCAGCTGTGCGAACCCGAACCGCATGTGCAGCACCTGGCCCGTCGACAGAACGACGCTCGCCTCGAGCACCTCGGTGGCGAACTGCACATCTTGGATGCGCGCACGTGCGCGGATCCGGTCGAACGTCGCATGGCCTTGCATCGCCGGGCTGTGCAGCAGAGCTCGCGCGTCGATCGTGAGGTGCGGGAGAGGCGACGGGAAGCTCTGCTGCAGCCAGATGCGCGGCGAAGCCAACTGGCGTTTGAGGTCGTCTTCATCCACGCGTCCCATCAGCAGCAAGTGCGGACTGGCATCGTAGAATCGTACCGAGCCGTCGAGATGCCATGTGATGAGGATGCGGAATGAACTCGAACGAAGCAACTCGGGGATTCCGTCGGATCCTTCGCCAGACAGACATCCCGAAGCCTTGCCACCCGCCAGCTCCAGCGGCGGCTTTTCGTGGTTGAACGACGAGCGCAGCGCCGAGCCCGACGCCTCCTGCTCCTGTTTTTGATTCAAACCCGTCACATCCAACGGCCCGACCAGCTTACGGTAGGCGTGCGGCGTGAGCGTCTCCAACTTTGCACCCAGGATCGCGCCTGGACCGGCCAGGGTGAGCGGCAGTGGCAGGTGCAGCTCCTTCTGTGGCTCGATCGGCACCGAGTTGCTGCCCGGCTGGAAAGCCTGTGGATCTGGCGCAGCGCGTGAGTCTGACCGGGTCCGTGGCGGGTAGGCAAAGCACGCCAGACCGCGTGCAGCAGCAGGAGGCGGCAGCGTGGGCAGCGCAGGATCGGCTGCAAGCAGCACCACCACCGCCGTCGGATCGTAGCTTCCCGAGTAGTGGGGATTGTTGCGCGGCAGCAGCACAAAGTCCTCCACCTGACTCGACGTCGGACATACGGTCTCGGAGGTGGGCACGAGCGAGTCGTGGAGTGCCTGGCGCAGCTTGCGACTCGCCTCGGCATTCGCTCCTACCCACAACGTTAACGCAGCAGCATACGGCGGGAGATTGGAGCAGAAGAGGCCGGGCATATCCATGTCAGGACCCGCACCCCCGAGCACCGTAAGGAGGGTGCCCTTGACTGGCTCGTCGACAGGCTCGTTGGAGGACGATGTGCGCTGATGCGGTTGTGACTGCCAGCTAGCGGCACTTTCGCTGGCCATGCTCATCCAGCTCTTTTCGGGAAAGCCGGACCAGGCGAGCTTGAAGATGGGCTCCTTTGGCGGTCGAGGCACGTCCATGAGCGAAGGATCGGTGATGGGCTTGTCCACGTCGAGGCAGTCGAGCGTGCGCACCATGAGCGGCTTGTCATCGTCGCGCGCATGCCAAAAGGAGATGCAGCCGTCCTCGTGTCCCATGGCAAAGACTTCTCCATCCGGGCGCCAAGCGACGCAGGTTGCCGGTGGGGCGCGTTCGGTCCACATGAGGTCCGGATGGCCTCCCGCCCCGCGCGCGCCGGGCAAGAGGCGGAGCTGAAACGTCTTGAGCACCGCGCGCTCACGCACGTCGAGCAGGATGGCGCCGCCTTCGTACGCAAGCAGCAGCTGGTTGATGTCCTTTGGATGCGTCTTGATATCGATGATGAGCGGCACGTGACGACGGTTGGGCGCGTCCGGCACGCCCGACTTGCGAAGGATCTCTTCTTCCTCCCACCAGAGGTTTGGCACGCGATAGGGCGATGGACACATGCGCTCGAGATCGTATGCATCCACAGTGCCGTCGCGCAAGCCCAGAAACATGTGAGAGTGGGCGGACGAAACTTCGACGCAGATGACCTTGTTGCGCACCGAGTGCACGCCGACTCGCTGCGGCGTATCTGGATGAGGTGGGCCAGTGATGCTGTGTCCCGTCGATGCGCTCGAAGGACGGTACTGGTTCGAGGAGGTTCCGTGGGCCGCTCTGATCTGAGGATCCGGTCTGGCGAGGTCGTAGATGCTGATGTTGTCTTTCTCGTCAATGCAGACAAGCAGACCGGCATCGGACTTGAACGCGAGATGGTTGACGCGATGCGCAGGTCGCAGCGAGAAGGAGAGCTGAACGGCAGGCGACCCAAAAAGATGGATGGTTCCGAGGGTGGTGCCTACGGCAAGGAATCCTCGGACGGGCTCAAAGGCCATGACGGTGGCCTCACCCGGTAGTGCCAAGCCAGCGAGGAGACCCTCATTGAAGGTGCCTGCGCTGCTGAGATGCGCATTTGCCAAGGATCGCGACCAGTCGGTGTGGTAGAGCCGCTCAGGCACCTTGGAGCCTGCCTGGGCTGCGCGGTCTCGCAGCGTCTTTATCCACGAGGAAGACATGGCGGAAGGTCTGCTCCGAGTGTGGATGGTTGGGTGGTGAGCAGTGCTTTAGCGCATTGCTTGCGATGGCCTGTGATGGCGGTGGCTCGATTGGGTAGCTGTCGCAGGCAGAGGATGATGGCGAGTTGCAAGTCAAGCTGAGCCAAGAACACTCCCACACTTCATACAGGCTCGAGGCAGGAGCCGTGTGGAGGCGCGGCGCCGAGAAATGTCAGAATTCGGCTTGGAGGTGCCGATGCCAAGAAAGCTCAGCTGAAGCTCGAGCCAACTTTGTTGTGGGAGCTGGGAATAACGCGCTGCACGAATGCCCGAGTTCCGAGGAAACTGCCATCACACTCGCATCGACCTCGACAACACCAGGCCTCTTTCTATCCCAACCATCCCTCGGGCTGCAACCAAAATCGACAGGCTCGAGGCTCGCATCACCATGTCTTCGAAGCGGTCCAACGATGTGGCGGCGGCGGTGGGGCATGCGACGCTCGGCAAGGTGCAGATGCCAGCCGAGCACCTGCAGATCCTGCAGCAGCGCTTCGAATCGCTGCTCTCGTCGATAGTCGGGCTGAAGGAGGAGATCGCGACGGTGCCCGGTGTGGACGAATGGCCAGCGCTGCTGCATCGATACACGAACCTGCTGTCGCACGCATACTCGCTCTCGTCATCGCTGCTATCTGCATCGCCGCATTTTCTACCTTCGCAACTGGCATCGTTCAACAAGGTGCTGGAGGCCGAAGCGGAGAACTCGAATCTGTACGCTGATGTAGGCACGTCCTCTGCACTCTTTGGCAGCTTGATGGGTGCATCCAGTGGTGGTGGTGGTGGTGGTGGTG